GCAAACTGTCCAGCTGTAAAAGTGTCATTATTCCTAATAAATGAAGAACACAAACAACTCATACCAGAAAATAGCAAGTAATCAGTTTAAGAACTTGTCAAGGATGGGTTTTTGTGACCCAGTGGGTTAAGCCACCATCTGGGATGCTCATTTCCTGTTTCAAGTCTTGGCTACCTTGCCTCTAAGGCAGATTCTTGCTAATGCACTCATGAAGCAGCAGATGATGGCTCAAGTACTTGTGTCCTTGTCACTCCAACAGTAGACCTGGACTGAGATCCTGGCAACTGATTTCAGACTGTCCCAACCCTAGCTGTTGTAGGCATTTTGGGGAGTGAACCAGCTATTAAAATCTCTCTCTTTCTGTCTCTCTTTCTCCCCTCCACGCTGTGTGTGTGTGTGTGTGTGTCCCCTCTCCTTTGCTGTGATTCTGCCTTACAACTAAATAAACCAGTCTTTAAAACAAGAATAAATGTTCAATGATCTGAATGGACATTTCCCAAAACAAGACATACACATAGCAAGAAAGTAGATGAAAAAATGTTTGCATACATCATAATCAGGAAAATGCAAATCAAAATCACAATGACACGTGTTCTCATCCCAGTCAGAATCACTATCATCAAAAACAAACAAACAAACAAACAAAAAACAAAAACAAAAGTACTAAAGGATGGTGAAAATGCAGAGAAAGGAAAACTCCTACAATCGTTGGGGATGTTCATGTACAGTGTCATTATGTAAAACATTGTCAGAGAGATACCTGCATGCCTTTGTTTGTTGCAGCATTATTCACAATAGCAAAAAAAAAAAAACTTAGATGTCTATAGAAGGAGGATCAAAAGAGGGTGGTATATACAGGTAATAGAATATTATTCAGTCACAGAAAAGGATGAAATCTAGTCTTTCAAGGCAACACGGAACTGGAGGGCATTGCATTAGTAAAATAAACATACATAGAAAAATATCATATTTCCTCTTTCATATATAGAAGTTAAAATGTTGATCACATAGAAGTAGGGTAGAGTAGGAGCCACTAGAGGCTGGGAAGAGAGAGTAGGAGTGGGGAGAGTAAGAGGATGGATAATGGGAACCAAAACTCACTTTGTGGTGGGGAAGTAGTTCTGGTGTTTCATGGTACAGAGGCCATCTATAGTCTACAATTAATTATACATTTCAAAATGACTAAGGAGGAGTGAATGAAGGTTCCTGACACATAGAAGTGATAATATTTCAGCACAAGGGAGTGCTAACTGCAATGATTTGATCACCACATGTTGTATACCAGCAACTGACTTAAAATATTGAATGCCATATATAAGTACAGATGTTATGCATCAATTAAAAATGAACCAATTAGTTTTTAAAGTGGTTTGAAGGATTGAGATTAGAGGACACAAAGGAAACATGAAAACTGAATGCAAATAATGGGAATGGGTTGGATTGCTGCTCCCCACAAATTCAGTTTTTAAAGTGGTTTGAAGGATTGAGATTAGAGGACACAAAGGAAACATGAAAACTGAACGCAAATAATGGGAATGGGTTGGATTGCTGCTCCCCACAAATTCTCAAAAGAATGTTTGTATCTAAGGTATGATCATCCCAGTAGAACAAATCTGGTTCAACTTTGGAAAGAAGAGGGATGAAAGACTAGCATGGAGGAGGCATGTGTGTTGCTAGCAGGTCTGTCACTTTCTCTAAATGCTAATCTCACGAATATGTTTAAATTTTGAAAACCACAGCACATCCTTATAATGTGTAATTCTTATACTCTTTTGATTATAAGATAAAATTGTCTGAGGGTTTTAGAAAGGCCTATACATAACAGTCACTGTCTTCATAGATTGAACACAGATTCTTGGTTATTTTCACAAGGGCAAAAAATAAAATTCAGCACCTACTCATGATTTCTGAGAAAAACATTTGAAACTAAGAATGTAAGGAATGGTTGCTATGCTGCTAAAAGATACAGATGAAGATAAAGATAAAAGAAAGGAAAGGAAGAGAGAAGGAAGAAAAGAAGGAAGGCAAGGAATAAAAGAGAACATAGGGAAGCCATTTTAATCTGTATGTATCGGGAGCATTCTATTTAAAACCCTCCTTTGCAGTCTGTAGTAGACCTTGCAATGGGTGCACCATCCAGCACATAATAAGACTCAGTTGAATTATGTTTCTGTTACTCAAAATTATGGAGGAATACCACAGAAAGCCTATAGACAAATTTTTAAAGAAATAATAGAGTGGTGGCTAAGTTGAAGATCTCATGCAACTGAAAAATCCAAATGTGTTGCTATCAATCAGATCCAGATAAATCGACATTATAAGCAGATACCAAATAC